TTTCCACTTCTTCTATCCACTGAATCTTAGATCTGATGTAGGACCCTCATTTTGTCTTGCCTTAATACTTTAAGGTCCGATTTATAAATTTTCATTTCAATAAAGTTTTATTCTGTTAATATTTCTCTTTCTAATTTCTAAATTTCCTCTGATAGAGTTCGTTTCTTTTTATCTTTTTGTTTGTTTTATTTTTCATAAAAGAAGCAGGTGAAATTGGTTTTCTTCTAATTTTTGTGAACAAAATTTCTAGAAGAGTTGATCATTGATAGTAAATTGGATTTCTAAGTCATTTATCTGTTCTAAAGTAAAAAAATGTTATATGATTATGATGCATGTTGTTATTTTACTTTTTTTATAGAGTCTTTAAAACAACAGTTGATTATTCAATGTCATGTAAAAGTTAATTGCTCAGTTTCCATAAACATTTACCAATTTTGAAATTATTCATCTTCAAATTCACTTGTATTGGGGAGTGATCAGATCTATACCTACTTAGAATTTGTAAATAATGTACATATTGATAAAGGCCTTGTGAAATTTAAGAGACTTGATAAATGGGATTAGTTTTTCTCCTGATAATTTATTTTAAATTCAGCGTACATTTCTCTTTAAGGATCTGTTAAATCATCATTTTTTATTAAATCTAATACCTTCTCTTTTCCTTTCGGGTTATTTGTACATCCAACATTCATGTATTTATTTTTGATGTTTCTGTTATGGTTTCGGTTAGAAAATATGCTATGTCTTATCGTTTGTAGTCCAAATAATTATTAAATTGCCATTCCATAACATCATTTTCATGAAAAATGTTTGGACAATTATTGTGAAAATAATTGTATAAAGTTCAAGATTGCATGTTAGTAACGTAAGCGCGTCACTGTTTGTTTATTCCTGTGGTGTCTGTCGTTGATGGAATATGTTCGTTGCTTTTCTGCGGTTTGCATGTTGTGTCGACTTTTATATTATATGTTTTTGTTATATTTCTGTCGCGTAGTGTTGTCATTTTAGCAATAAACATTGTCATAAAGCGGGAGGTTTGGCTAGCCATTAAACCAGGTTCAACACACTATTTTTTCTTAAAATTTCCTGTACCAAGTCAGGAATATGGCAGTTGTTATCAAATAGTTCGTTTCTATGTATCTTGGCGTTTGTTTTTTGTTGCACTTCCGTGTTCCTGTTGTTCCTTTGTTTTCTTCTTATAGTTGATGTATTTCCCTCGGTTTTAGTTTGTTACCCGGATTTGTTTCCTCTCAATCGATTTATGACTTTTGAACACTTTTGAATACTACAGTTGCCTTTTTTTTTACATTTTGGTAATTATGTATATCTAAACCATTGTCGTGACGTCATCCTATTCAATTACTGTGGATTTTTTTTTCTAGAATCAATGCCTCCTAAATCTGTCGCTGAAATGAGCTTACCGAATTATATTCAATTTGTTTTCTTTGTGTGCCTTATTTCATTAAGTTTGAATTGGCCAATTTACTAATTTCTGTTTACTAATAGAATTAATTTAAAAACTTACTTTTAATTTTTGTAATTTCTAAATGCCTTCACTGGGAACCGAACCCCTCCTTAAAATATATTATGTGTGACTGACATCAACACATCGACAAAACCTCTCGGCTACCAATGAGTTGCAATTAAGAAGTCTATTTTATATATACAAATAAACATATGATACACATCGGTACTACGGACACACAGGGTTTGTACCTTTATATAAACATAATAGGCAATCGTATAGTATAAGTTGGTAGCCGCGAGGTTAACATGGTTAAGATCAATGAGTTAAAGAGTCAAGTTAAAGGTAGAGACTTGTCGGTTTAGGTTCGAATCCCTGTATTTTCTTTGTTGTCCCTATTCTTTATTTTCCGATTTTCTTATTTTGTATGTTATTGTGGATATTTTTGTAATAAAATTAATAGCGGGTTTTCCCATCTAGTTATGTATTATTATTGCCTATTTCACATATTTGAAAAGAAATGATTACATTCAATTTGTCCATTTTTGTTTTATAAATATAGTATGATTTCATCTTTTTTTCTACATATCTTTACAAATGTTTATTCGCAAATCCATATGCGAGTAAATCGTGATGAGCCTAGAATTAGGCTTCTTGCTAGGAATTTCGGTAATTTACCTTTAGTTTAGATACATGAATTTTTTTATCAGTTGTTATTGGCTTTGAACTAGCTGTCAGTAAATGCGAGTACTCTAAGATCTGTACTCAGTGTCCTTTTTGTTGTTAGGGATGAGGGATGGATAAATATCTTACCACGTCCGGTCTGTGTTTATGTTTGATGTTTTTCTGCTTCGTATCAATCTAATGAGTTAAGCCTTTTTCAACTGATTTTTATAGTTTGTTCTTATGTTGTGCTGTTACACTACTGTCCCATGTCAAGGTATGATTAATCGCTCACAAACATGTTTAACCCCGCCAGATTCTTTATGTGTCTGTCCCAAGTCAGGAGCCTGTAGTTCAGTGGTTGTCGTTGGTTCATGTCTGTCATATTTGTATTTCGTTAATTGTTTTATTATTAATTAGGCCGTTAGTTTTCTCAATTGAATTGTTTCATATTTTTCATGTCGGGGCTTTTTATAGCCGACTATATGGTATTGGTTTTCTCATTGTTGAAGGCCGTACGGTTGCCTATAATTGCTTACTTTGGTGGATAGCTGTCTCATTGGCAATCATATCTCATCTCCTTATTTTTATATTATTATATATACTTAGAAATACCTTTGAATATGTCTTATTTTGTGAATTACGGATAATATGCAGATACCTGATAATATAAAGACAGACGTGTTATGTTATATTTGTATTCCTCTAACCAAATAATTGTGAACTTAGATTTATTAATGCATCGTTGAACATGATAACATGGTTATTCAAACTCTTTTACAATACCTTCTAATTAATATACTAAAAAGCTTTACTTTTTAAACGACATCAACACAATAGTTTAAGTTAGAGATACAAAGGATAAGCATTGATCATTCATGAAAAAACAAACCATTCACCCTCCAGGCTCATGGTTTCTTTTTCAAGAATCAACGCTTATTCGTTGTATCTATGATACTTAAGTTTTGGAATAAATTATAATCTCCAGTTTAAATTACTGATTGGCTGTTTATGTTTTCTATCATATCACTAACTATGGCATACAATTTAGGTGAATCTTTATTTGAACCATATAAGCTTATCAAGGTTTTTTTTTCTTCAGTCTCCATATCAATTCTTAGCAAGTTCCCTTAGTCATCTTTTTTTACTTTATGTAACTTGTATTAAAAGGTTTTGAAAGAATTGAACATGACATCTTCTCCCTATAGTTTTTTTTTTTATATTTCATCTTTTGCCGAAAAATGTGTATCTTGTAAACAATATATGTGGCAATTTGTTTATTTCGGATAATCGAAAACATCTCTCATTAAGCCATCATTACTGATTTAAAAAAAAAAAGATAATTTGAGATCATAATCTAAAAAAGAAAAGGCTAATATTGAATAAAACCAATTGATCTTATAGTGAAGAGTAACATATCCACTTATGTTCAATATGTTAATACAGAATTATTGTGTACAAAGGGAATAATCTATCTAATTGAAATTATATTAAAAATTGTCTCCCTTGAAAATGTCAAGCAAATATTTGAATCAATATTATCAAAACCATTGATTTTAATTAATTCAATCAAATACCAACTGTTTCACAATTCCTCACCTTCAATGTAACAACATTCCAGCAGCGCCTGCATATGGAGTATATATCCCGTTGATACGATATTCCAGGGCTTGCATTTCCTATCAAGATTTTCTTGATAGAGGGTTGATGCTCACAGGGAATCTAATAAACAAAGAGTTCCAAGTGGTGAAGTTGAAATCACCTCTTCGCAAATTTTATTAGTATTACTATTTTTTATCTTTATGGAATATCTGTTGCACAGAGGAAGACGGATATGTTCCCCGAATGTGACCTACCGAATTAAAATTATTGCCGTATTTGTGTTTAAGTAAATAAAATTGCTCCATTCTTTCATTTTAAACGGTTTTTTTAATGTATGTTGTTCAGGTTTTTCAAAAGCAATAAATACATAATTCATAATATTTACATCCAGAGCATAAGAGTTTATGTATCTTACTAAGTTCTGTTATAACATACATGTTTATCTTTCTGATATACCTATAAGCTGTATTGCCTCTGGTTAGAAAAACAACAAGGTAATTTATTTTGTAAAAATTATTTCCGTACTCAATGTATACTTTACAACAACATTAATTTTATTTACCTGTGTACGTTATTTTATTTGGCGGCATTTTGTCAAAGGTTATGGTTGTCTTTCTGGTATTGTTTTACATATAACCCCCTTGTTTTAATAATTTTGTGTTTACATTGTGTCATAGATCAAATTTATTCGTTCAGTGTATGTTCACTTGTTTTTGTCTTTTGATTGAGTTAAGCCATTTCAATTGATATTTTATAGTGTGTCTTTCTATGTTGTGATGTTACAATATTGTTTTAGGTAGGGTGAAGGTTGGCGCCAATTAAAGCGTGTAAACCCGCTGCATTTGTTTGCACCTGTCCTAAGTCAGAAACCTGCAGTGCAGTGGTTGTTGATAAGTGTTTCTCGTTTTTTATATAGATTAGACCCTTGGTTTTCCTGTTTGAATGGTTTTACACAAGTCATTTTTGGGGCCCTTTATAGCTTGCTGGTCGGTGTGAGCCAATGCTCCGTGTTGAAGGCCGTACTTTGATCTATAATGGTTTACTTCTACAAATTGTGACTTGGATGGAGAGTTGTCTCATTGGCCCTCATACCACATCTTCTTATATCTATGACTACTAAGAATTAAAACAGCTGCTTAAAAAATATCTGTCCATGCACATGTAAAGCTTCAATCAAAACAACAAAAAACAAATAACGTTTTATTCATTAACTTTAAGCAATTTTTATTTCAAAACAGAAGTTAATTTTCGGTATCAAATAGGGCCGTATCGATCGTACTCATTTTCACGCACTTATTATATAAAATATTATTATAAAGTCCTACGTATTAACCATGTTAACACATATTGTAAATAACTACTGTTGATCAAATGGTACATTTACAGTAATATGAATGGTTTACCATGTTTTAATTTCATAAGTCATTATTGTTGTAAAGGGTTTATATATCAGTCTGAAACTAAGCATATTTAGTGTGGTGTATAATTTTCCATTGTTTTTATTGATTGATATCTTAACAATTGGTTTGGCCTTATACATTCTGAATTTGGTGTATCATTTAACTTGAATTCGACGCAGAATACTTAAAACGCAATATAAAAAAATAAATACATACAGTCCAAATGCAAGATATTTGTAAGATCAATCATAATAACACAAACGTGTACGATATTGCTCCCCTTAGATTTACAAGTTTAGTTTTATAGTGATCATAAACTCATCCATGTAATCAAAAATACCAGGATTAAAATTGTGTACGCCAAACGCGCGATTCGTCATAAACAGACTCATCAGTGAAGCTCGAATAAAAAAGATAGAAAGGCCAAATAAAGTATCGAAGATGAAGAGCATTGGTGACCCAAAGTTCCTAAAGGTTTTGTCAAATACATGAAAGAGATAGTAGTTTACCGCAAAGGTACCACAACTCAATGACAAAAAATATCCACAATAAGCAAAGGATATCTAGTATGCTAAATATAGTCTTCAACAGTAACAAACAGATGTCTATACAATACGGCAACCACTTTATCATGTATATACATGTTGTGAATAAGAGTTTGTTTTCATTGAAATAAAGGTTAAGGTGTAATACAAATATATGGGTGGTTGTTTTATTCTTGCATAATACAAACTATCATATAGAGTTAACATTTGTTAATAATTAGTCGCTCAAAAATATATGAGATGGCAGTTTGGACGAGTAACAGTAAAACCAAACGTTTATTTTTTCCAACATCACTTTGAGTGTTCTGACCAACATTTGGTTACTTTTAAATATAATTCTTGATTTCTGAAACTATAAAGAAAAGTAAATTTAACAAAAAGTCTGAAATTTAAAATTCAAACGTAAAATATTATCAGTTTCAAAGTAAATTAATAGAAAATATCCGAATTATTGTTAGGCATGTAACAGTTATATCCATCTTTGAATAATAATATAAAAATATGGTCATCAGGAAACCTCCTGTTAAATGGTAACACCAACGGCAGTATGTGCATGAAATAATAACCAAATCGACATTATGCAAACACCAATATTTATTCAGAAAAAATATATAAGATGGTTTGAATATTGTATCGAGACCTTTTGGCTATTCTGTAGTAGTTTCAATGTTCTCAAATGTATACGTTTTGGCTATTCAAAATTACAATATTTGCCACTGGATATTAACCAAACAGCAATCAATTGATAAATCAATAATTACGACTGATACATACATCTAACACAATTTGTACAATAAAACATCAGCAGTGAAAAAATCAACTCACAATAAAATCTGCACTTACAATACCCATCATTGTCCCCGAAAAAAAAGGTATGAGTTTTCTGCATAAAAGAGCATTTATTTACATTTTATAGAGGCCAATTTTAATGTCCATTTGTATCTTCCGCCTCTCTTTTATATTTATACAATACAAGAAGAGTCTGTTTCTCAAACATACAGTTTGAAATATATCATATTCAAGTATATTATATCATGTTCTAGTAATTGGTTCTTATTATTCACATTTCAATCTATTTTTCTTTTTTTAACTTATAATGAAATTAACATTTCTCATGTCAACAGTCTGCTTCGTAAACGACTATTTTAGATTAAATGATTTTCCACTAAAACAATTTGGTTTCATTATTGGATGATATGCCTTATCACTTATCATCCAGTTCAACTATGTTTTCAGTCAAAACTGGCAAACACTAAATACATGTTTTCTGTTTTAATTGACTTACTTTTCTCAAGTAATCTTTGTTGGTTTGATCTTAGTTCTTTCTGTAAGTTTTGGTTCGCTCTAGAGTCAGCTTCCATTTTGCTTAGTGCTGATCTAAATTCGAATCGTAGACTTTTAACTGATCCTTTCTGTAAACTACTTTGAGTCTCTTTTAGGTCATTTCTAAGACCTTGTTGTGCTTTTGTCATACTATCTAAGTTCTGCTTCAGATTGATTTGTTTTTGTTCAAATTCACCAAACCTCTTTTTGTTATCTGTTTCCAGGTCATCAATCTTTCTTTTCATATCCACGTGAAGTTTGGTCTGACTTTCACATTTTGTAGTTAATCTACTTATTTTTTTTGTGAGTTCCATAAAAGTCATTGTTATATTGTGAATCACTGAAAAAAGCATAAGCTGATAAAAATAATTAGAAACAAAGAGGACGCGACGGATATATTGATATAAATAACACAGTCGGTTCATTTCTATTCGACGCTAATCAGACAGCAATCAATCAATCATTCTTTTGGTTTTATTCTAAATCAACCTATCTATCCTCAAATACAAATACCAAAATGTAACCATGATAATAATAACTTCAATTTACAAATAGCAAACAACTACTAAGTGAGGTTAATATATAGGCAATTTAAAAAAAAGCTGGTATAATACTTGAACACTCATATATAGGACTGAAAAACGATATTTGATAACACTCGCTATAAATTATATGTATATTAGTAATTGCTACTAAACATACTTGTTTCAGACTTGCTTAAATCTTCGTTTTGACGGCTATGCCCAACAAACAACAGTGTAATATCATCTTCAAACTTTTTCCTCTGAACTTTAATATCCAATATGTCTTTTCTCATACTGGATATCTCTAAAAATATAACAATGAAATAACATAGATTTCCTAATACATGTAAAAAGTAAAGTAACAAAAATAACGAATTCCAAGGAAAATTCAAAGCGGCAAGTCCCTTATCAAATGGCAAAACTCAACGCTCGAATACACCAAACGAATGGAAAACAACTGTCATATTCCTGACTCTGTACAGGCATTTCCATATGTAGAAAATGGTGGATTGAACCTGGTTTTATAGCTAGTTAATCCTCTAACTTGTATGACAGTCGCATAAAATTCAATTATGTTGACACCAATGTTGTCGATAATTAAGGGGTTTATCGTTTGAAATAAATTTTCCTTCACAATAATAATGAAATCATATTGATCTCACTACTTTGCTTTAAAATGTCATCATGGTTCCACTGTCTTATTCCTTTAATTAATATAAATAAAGATATACGCTTTTCTCTTCCGCCAAACAGTCGACCCTATTTCGACGAACAGTCGTAAACAAATAAATGTATTTGTCACCTATTAATAATATGACGTAAATGATAATCTATACATAATCGATCATGATATATCAACACAAGCACCGACCATTTACCTTTTATGTTGGCCCGAAGGATGGGGAGCTTGTTCTTTTTTTATTTGTTGAAAATATAATTTCTTAAACACGATTAGATTAATATATTTAAGTAAGGCAGTAATAAAAATGCAGTTAGAAAAAGAAAAAGAAATAAACAAAATCAATAATAAAAATGATATTCCTTTTGTGTGTTTTGGATTAGTTGAAAATAAAATGTTGTACTAAGAAAAAACTCATGTCAAAATAATATATGAATTGTTGATGCCTTCGTTATTTTGCAGGTTTGCAAGAAGTATTCGTTCCTTTCTAAACAAGTATTAAAGCAACATTGAGAAAGAAAGAAATATGTAAATCTATATTTCTAAGAACTTTCTTACATTTGTGAGGATCAAACGTTTCCACAGCATTAAATTAATATATCCCAGAAAAGCTACGTTTGGTTTGGTCAATAAATTATTATTTTTTTATTTCTTTTTTTTTTTTTTTTTTGCTTATGGTCATCTTTGAAATATAATCCAGAATATTTTTCAGTACTACAGTATATAGTCTTAAATTCAACTTTCTATGCTACTTTACGACATGTATTTTTTTTTATCGTGATATCTTATATCAATCAATTGTTCTTATTGGTCTGATGCCTCTTGTTTGAACAATTATACCTGTAGTAATGAAACAATACAACCTCGTTTGACATTGATTGGAAACTGCCATATCTAAGTCTTCATCTACATCTATATGATACAACATTTACAATACTCAATTTAATCAAAACATCTCTAGAAAAGGGGCGCCATTTTGTACATCTGTTTAGGAAGATTATACACTGCTACAAATAACATTAACGGTACAAATTGTATTGCACCAGTTGCGCATTTCGACAATAAATGTCTCTTCTAGGATGCTCGAGGCTTGAAAAATTAATACCTTATTAAAAACAATTATTAGCTGATAAAAACCAAAAAGGACAAAAACATTAGCGAAAGCCCGGGAAGGAAGGGTATATATACGAGAATTATATAGTTACATACCTTTGTCATCATGCAACATATCATTGAGTTTGTACATTGAGAAACCAACGGTGACGCTACTACATAATATTAAAAAAGCGACGACCAATGTCCATTTGTTTCTTTTAATCGAAGATATTCGCTGCGTTTCCTTTGTTCTTTCCTCATGTGACGTAAAATCCGCCATTACGTCAGCTCCTTGCTCACCAAGTAACTTTTCAGAGTTATTTGGATGACTATTATCGTCTTTAGATGCATCTTAAATGTCAATACAGGGACGAATAGTATTAAAAACATAGATCTATACATTGTACTGTTGATATTATTCTGTACTTGACAATCTCTTCACCAAAGTCGAACAACTTTTATTTGTCGGAAAGGTCGTTTGTTGTCTATGTTTTTTTTTTCAGGTTTTATCTTTTAAAAATTGCTTAATCTTGGAATCTAATTAAACATGGTTCATAGCAAAGAGAACACATAACTCGAATATGACGGGCACGTGACTATAGGACTGCATCGTGTGACAAATATAAACAAAAACCATTAGTATCATAACACTTGATAGTTTCCTATTTTTTTTTTAGATTCTTATATTTTATTTTAGGATTCGCGACTTAAGTACGCGACATTTTGTGTTTGTTTGTTTTATCATTTGTTAATGCACAGTGTAAGTGCTTTTAAATGCTGAAACCTTATTCCATTGTTATTCTTATTATTAGTCCAGATCCCATATCCAAATGAATTGTTTTCGGAACGAAATTATCTGTTAGAAATGTTAAAAAATATTCTACACAGCTTACCTTTATACATGTTCAGTATTAGCAGACTAAAACCCAATGATTCAACAATCCCTGATAAGTGAATGTAAAAGTAGATTTGTTAGGGTATGTTTAGTGCTTGAATTAGAACAAGTGATAACTTTTATTGATCCTACAACATAATCACTGACGTCACTGATTAGTTAATGTAACAAAGGTTTGTCCGGGTTTTTAATAAATTAATATGGACAAGTGATAACTTTTATTGATCATTATATGAGACAGGTATTGCCCGTGAAAGAGGGCAAAGTCCGTATTATGTTCGTTTCGGAAATCAGATATGATAGTTCAAGGAAAATCGTATGCTTAAGATGACATCCTCGTCAACAGGGTAATGCGCAAATGCAAATTACGTGTTGTATTCACTAATATAATATTGATTTTTCTACTTGTTGGTTTTTTTTTTTCTTTATTGATTTTCTTCTACTGTTATTAGGACGTCTATAATATAATCACGACGCCCATGTAGAGTGGAATGATTACAATTATAATCATGAAACAATAATTTCATAGATTTAAACAAAATAATCAAATTTCATTATACCTCAGTATGTTTTTAATTGAAATGTTATATGGAGTGCTTTATCATTCCATTGACAGCAAGCCAGTCAATAGTTTCAAGGACTATTTCCCCAATAAATAGTTTTCAATCACATTTCACGATTGTTTTCATACATATTATTTTTTGGACAAACATGACGTCATTAGCTTCTCGCGTTGTTTAGTTTAAACTTTTTCCATTCGTGAGGAAGAACACTGAAATTTCGAAAATAGCACATCAATATACGGTATATCACATATATCTGTGTCTGTTTTAAAAATTACTAAATTACCTACAAGGAGTCATCTGTAAATAAAAGGAAAAATCGTCATAAAAATTACATATAGAGCAGCAACATAGCATATGTATTGTATGGGTCTGTCCTTGTTTTTCTAATCTATGAAAATTTTTGTAAACGGCAATGATATACATGTATTCTACGCATTAATTACTGGTTTCCATTACAGCAAATCAAATATTGACAAAAGAGAGGCAAAAGATACCAAAGGGACATTCAAACTCATACAAATATTATAAGGACAATACACTTTTCACACGTGCATATATACACATGTGTGGCTATTACATTTACCACATGCTATTTGCAGTTGTTCGGAATACAAGTGAAGGGTATTGAAAGTGTGTTGTTTCTTAGAAGGCCAATTAATAAATGTATAATATTGTACTTTTGTTTCCATTTATTGCTCGAAAAATAATTGTCAAGATTTCATTATATTCTTTGGTCAAAACGATATTTGGTGTCAAGTTTTCGTTATCTAACACTGGCTCATTGCCATTGTTTATGGATTGTTTTTCACGAGGGAATCGTCTGTACATAAGTCAGAGTTTCGGTACCGACATTATTTACAGCATACTTTTCATCAATTCTTCGTTGCTAGATTCAGAAATTATCAAGAAATTATGGTTCGACCTATCACAGGCAACATTAACCTAAGATGAATTTGGCCTTTATTTTGTATGTCCCTTTCGGTAATATAATTATTTACGTATTCAGTTATTTAAGATTAAAGCGTTCGTCATTTAGGAAATTCCAGAAAAGCGCTTCGGATACACAAAATTTATAAAGCGTTATAATCAATTTCTAGCACTGGGTCGATACCGCGGTTTGTGGACTGTTTTCCGTTAGAGTATCAACAGCGTAGTAGTCAGTGCCTCGGTACTGATAAGATCTGCTTACCCTTCCAGAGCACCTGAGATCAACCCCGTTTTTATTGTGAGGTTCGTATTGCTGATTCTTTAGTTTCCTATGCTGTGTTTTAGACTGTTGTCACTCTTAAGATCGTTTTTCGTTTGTTTTTCTTTTGTCATGTCATTGTCAGTTCGTTTTCGACTTTTGAGTTTGACTATCTCTTTGATATCTTCTGCCTCTTTTTGTGGTGGGATAAGAGAAGTTTTGTTAACTTAAATTACATGAGGTTTTTTTTAGAAAAAATGAAAAGACGATAACATTATCCTTTACCTTCACTTTCCGCTATTTAGATGATGTCCTCATCTAAATAATTCAAATTTAGATGACTTTGTTAAACGAATGTATCCCATCGAACTTGAAATATCGGAAAGAAGCTTTACGGTTAAGTCTCCCTCATATCTTAACTTTCATCTAGAGATTGACAACGAGGGTCGGTTGAGAACAAATCTCTAAGACAAAAGAGATGATTTCAGCTTCCCATTTGTGAACTTTTCATTTCTGCATATGTAGTTTATATCTCCCAGATGATACGATATTCCAGAGCTTTCATTGCCTATCATGATTTCCTTGATTGAGGGTTGCTGCTCACAGGCTAGCTATTAAACCAAAGCTTCAAGTGGTGAAATCATTACTTCGAACATTTTACGGACGCCATCACGAGTTGGTTGACAGCTAGGAAATATCTGTTTCAAAGATGACGACGGACATGTTCCAAAAGAGAGGCGAAGGATACCAAAGGAACACTCAATCTCATAAGTCGAAAATAAACTGATAGGTCAAAGTACGGTCTCTAACACGGAGCCTTGGCTCATACCGAACAGCAAGCTATAAAGAGCCGGAACCTGTTTCAGTGGTTGTCGTTTGTTGATGTGGTTCTTAATTGTTTCTCGTTTTTATATAGATAAGACCGTTGGTTTTCCTGTTTGAAATTTTTACACTAGTCATTTTGGTGCCTTTTATAGCTTGCTGTTCGGTGTGAGCCAAGACTCCGTGTTGAAGGCCGTACTTTGACCTATAATTGTTTACTTTTTACACATTGTGACTTGGATGGAGAGTTGTCTCATTGGCACTCATGCATGCCACATCTTCTTATTTCTATTGACAACGCCATGGTTAAAAAGGAAAAAGACAAACAACAGTACACAAAACTCAACATAGAAAACCAAAGACTGAATGTAGTAACCACAATCACGTCTTCTTTTCTTCGAATGTGACCTATCAACTATCAACGGATTTGTCCTTACATGAGCAACACGCATATGCAACTATTCCAGTCATAATTACGTTCGATAACTCTGCATGTTACTGGTTTAATTAGGATTATGTAAAATTTACTAGTTACCCGATGAATGGTTTAAAGAAAATTGAAAAATATAGTTATTTCACCTCGGTTAATATCCATTCGAGGTCTTCTTTTATAAATATAAAATAATATCGTAATGAATTTCATTGAGAATCTGACAACACTAATCAACATAGGTATTGTCAAAACATACATCTACATAGGTATTGTCAAAACTTACATCGTGATTAGGTGCCATGTTTGTTTTCTTTGATTACGTTGATGTTATGACTCATATCTCCTTAGTCTAGCTATGTCCTTGGCTATCATTATAGTGACAATAACGTGTCATATTTAATTGCAATATAAACAGTGAAATTAAATTGAATTATTTGCATGGACAAAATAAGTGTCGAACATCGTCTACGTTTGAAAATTATTTGGTCGCCATTTTTTAAATTTTTTATAAAAAAAAACAACAGCATGTATCAGCTTTATCAAATGGAACCAATGTTTGATTCTATGCTGCTTTAAGGTAAGACAATGACTGAAAACGCGAGTATCCAACAGTTATTTGATTTTCATTGTAACAATCTTACAAAATATATTTTTACCAAGTCGGCCCACGCTGTCAAAGTGGTCGCCATCTTGAAAAATAATACCCGATTTTCTGAAAATAGCTAATTTTCAAATCAATTTGGAAGGGACGTAATAAAAAATTAAACTATTGCATGTACGATATTTCAAATATTTATGAATATAGTAATAAGCACATATTTCCACAATTTTTCCATCTGTTTTGTTTAAATCGCAATTTTAGGTTTAACACGACAGAAAATCCAATATTTATCGGAGTTGGATGATTTAACAGTGTGAATTATCGAGGCAACAAGACAAATTTCAAAAGCATTTGGAAGGGAGAAGACCAAAATTTAAACTTTTCCAAAAGGCATAAATATATTTCTAAATATATGAGGAATTACTATATATTTCCACACTTTTTTTTATCATGAACTTAAAGTAATTTATTTTATCGATTCCTGAAAGCCCCTGTGCATTTCTATACATTTTACTTGGGCATGATACGGGTGATGTGTGACGTCGCCAATGTCACGTGATGACTGCTATAGTTGGATATGGACAGTTGCAACTGGTGGAGCAGGATCTACTATAGTTTCCGGAGCACCTAGGATTTCCCCTGCTTTTTAGTGGAATTCGTGTTGCTCAGTTTTCAGTTTTCTATTTTGTATTTTGTATACTGTTGTTTATCTTTTGGTCTTTTTGCGTTTTTTGCGATGTCATTGTCAGTTTATTTTCGATTTATGAGTTTGAATATTGCTTTGGTATTTCTTGCCTCTCTTTTATCATAAGTAAAAAAATAACTTTGTAATGGTAGGTGAACAAATATCAGTGTTGCTAAATAACAACAACAAAAAAGAATAAATGAAGCATGTGTATATAATTAATTGTAGTCAGTAAGTAAATTATTTGACTCAAATTTTGCAGACAAGTAGGAAACGGATGGATAACCCCAAACACAATTTTCCAGGAATGTAGAGTTCAGTAGGAAGAACCAGGCTGTGAAGACTGGGATAAACGCAACACTGCATCATTTGATTAGACTAATTTTGTACTTATTAATTATCCA